CGTCACTGTCCAGGATCTGGGTAACTCTTTGAACCCCACTCAGCCTCTTGACGCCACTCAATTCGTCTTCTTCAAGGGTATCAACGATGCTGGTAACGGCAAGGGTCTTCTATCCGCTACTGTCACTGGTGGTCTCCCCGCTGGAAACTACCGTGTCTGCACCATGTTCTCATCGGCTAACCACCAGCCTGTGCTCATGCCTGTGGCTCAACGTGGTGCTCAGGATGACTGCAACAAGTTTACTGGTAGGCTTACTCGACGCAATGCATGTACGATTTTACAGAAGCTAACTCAACCTAGTTGGTGGCAATGGTAACAACAACAACGCAAACGCTGGAAACAACGCAAACGCCGGTAACAACGCCAATGCGGGTAACAACGCGAACGCTGGCAACAATGCCAACGGCGGTGCTAAGGCGAATGCTGGTGCAGCCGCAGGAAAGGGACAAAATGGCAAAGGCCAAAGTAATACATCGAACACAAGTACTAGCACTGGCAGCAATGCTAACACGGGAACCACACAGACTAAAAACCTTGGCGGCGCAGCTCCAGCGATAACTAACTCTGGAGATGCCAGTCGGCCGTTTGCTGTCAACGGGTTAGTATAATTTTCCACATCTCTACGAATCGTATCTGACGCTTCTCTACAGGAACACGTTCGTGAACCAGGCCGCTGCTAAGCAGAGATCCTGCGATGTGAGTATTACAATTCCCCAGCGTTTCTCGACCTCTTCCTGACCGTTTTTGCAGATCCAAAACAACGCTTGTAGCGACGCATCCAATGCGGGTGCTGGTTTCAAGCTTTCCGACTGCCAAGCGCAACAGCAAGCCTGCTTAGCGGCATAGTTGTGATCTAGGGAGGAGGAAAGATGTGAAACATCATCCCGGCAGGGTCCTTTCTCTGCCGGGTTGACGGTACTAACTTGTTTTTGATTCGTATGGCTCTCTGTTTCGCCGCGGACGTTCAAGGCCGATGTTTTTAATGTAATGTCACGCTGTGTGTGGCAGAATATAGAGAGTCCCGGGGCGGTCGGGCGCTACGACAATACCTTTTAATGATCATACCACCAAAGCTCCGACTGTGTACATTTTTTCATGAGGCTTGGTTACTTTTTCCATACCTAGTATTTTCTTTTTTACTTTTTTTTTTTCGTGGAAGTGATATGGAGTGGGTAGTCTAAATAGCTAGAAGGGAATGGGAAGCACATATATCAGAAACTAATATTTAGTGTCTTCTGTGAACTTCACTCTACGACTGGTCTTTACGGGAATTTTGGCGATTTGTGATCACTTTTCAACTTTGATCTCAAAAATGAACATACTAACATTCTTCGACTTCAGATCTGGGAGCAGCTGAGATGAGCGCAAAACTATCTAGATCTCGAGAGCTGGGGGACACCACGGACTACGAAATCTTGGGTCACCTCGTGTTCTAAGCGAAATAAAAGATTATAGCTTACCAATATTATGGTGCCTAGCCAACCCGACTTGGCTACGGCAGAATCTCAAACCGTCGAGCGAGCCGAAGCCTCGTTCCAGAAGTCCCGGGGCTGTCTCGTACCCCTGTCTTGCGGCTCCCCTGTTTTATGCGACGTAGCTCAATTGCTCTATTTTCCTTAGGACGGGTAGTATAGGTAGGGGAGGGGAGGTATGTCATATGCGACGTGGGATTCTGTATGCAAGGTACGGATACGGCGTCGCTTGGCGCTGGGTTGCCGAGGAGCCGAGAATATGTCTAGCAGGGAGATGGTAATAATGAGCTATGATGTAAAGCGGTGAGTTGGCAAAGGGTTGTTTGGAAGTTGTTCATATTAGGCAGGTTGATAAACAGCCTCGGCGTTAAGGTGTTAAGGGCTTGAAATTACGGCCTTTTGCTTCATCTGAAGGGTTTTACTTGGCGCTTTCTGGCTGGATCTTTGGCCTAGATATATAGCGACTGAAGCTATTTCTGTTCGCTTTGTTGGATGACTTTTCGTTTCTGTGGACGATGAGATAACATTACGGACCTCTCGTTCATGCACCAGCTCTTATGATTTATCTCGTTCGGTTGGTTAAAAATATGAGTTTCAGGTATCTCAACTTCTCATACCATGAGACCTGCCGGATACGAGGCTGTACCAACTCTTTGCTGTTCCTGCTAAATTTACGAATAGACGTAGAGCCTGCAGGAGCTTAATCAGTTCTTAATGAGTGAGGATGAGGCTTCGTAGGTTGGCTCGAAGATCTCTTGCCGCGAAATAAGACAGAATATAGCTATTTGACATTTTCTCGTAGGAAAGGGATTGACTGGCGGAGTGATTGTTTGTCCTAAAGTCCATCATTAGTGGACTCCAAGCCGCTGTGGCTTGCATATCATGTCGCGACGGCGATGACATGAATCCCAAAGGCAGTGTGGCTGGTGATGGCACCCAACAGCACTACAATTGTTAAGGACTTTAAAATAACAGCACAAAAAGATGTCTTGTAACTACACACATAACGCAGCTGATGAAGAGCGCATTATTTCAAATTAATGCTCTTTTGATGTAGGATTGATTGATATAGCTCTTATGTATCGGAAATCAAGGGCCATAGGTGTGGTTGAGAAAAAGCCCTGGAGGGCACTAAATCACAGGAGGCTTAGAGGTAGCCCAAATACAGTGCTTATGTAATAACAAAACACTATATAGTTCATCGTGGCGCTCGCCGTGGCGGTGCATGGCTCCACGGAATGTCTCTCCGCCTTCGCACCTCTGTTTCTTACATACTATCCTTGGATCTATGAAGAATCTCTCCGTAAGGGAGCTGTCGAGGACTTGGGGCTATCTAGGACACCTGGTGAACTGAAGAGCCTAGGTTGGCCTTGGTTCCGAGGTGTCCGAGTCCAGGTGAATCATGGCCATGGATGTCTCACAACTCCTTCATATAGACAGCCTGCTGGTTACAGCGGCCAACCCAGCTCGTGTCGATGTTCAACTAGGGATGGAGTATGAACGATGCGCAGGCCTACACAATTACCTCGTGCAGTACGCCTGGATGTCCGAAGGTCGGGAACTAGCTGACCTACCCGGCAGCAACACCTTCTTCACCACCCATGGCGCCGAAGCCGAAGCTCTCCGGCCCCGTCTCCACCCCTCCGTAGCATCTTTTCTCGACACCGCCATACTTCCTTCTGTTGATGGCGAGCCCGCGCCCCTATTCTTCTGGGTCAACGGGCTTTCCGAGCCGGACTTCCTATTTGCTGATCACCCCACGGATATGTATGATCAGCCAGAAGACAGCTTGTTAAGCTTATACTTCCCTAACATCGGCCAAGGGGCCGAATTCGGCGGCGGCTTGTTATACCATCAAGGTATCCACCGCGCTGCTATGTTCATGCACATGGATGACTACGGCTACGCGCTGCCTGTTGAGGAGCACTTAGAACTCTGGCACCCCCTTGAGACCGTGCTCTCGAACTGGATCGAGCTTATCCGACTCGGTAAAGTTGTTGCCTCGTCGAGAGACGAGCCTGCCCTATTTGGAGTTGAGAAGATAGGGCCTTGGGAGTGGCGGCCCTACGGCGAGGGCCAAGTTGACACTTGCGTTTCTGCGTGGGATCGCCTCTGCGATGCTATCGAGGCGCGCATTTCGCCGCTGCAGCCTCCGGTCTGCGCAGCCGATCCCGAACCACTACTTACGCCCCCTGCTCTATCCACAGCATCGATACCCAAGCCTAGCTTTGCACATGCCTTCTTATCCCGCGCCCGCCGCCCCCGGTTCCGTTTCATCGCCCCGGGCCTCCTTCTCCCACCTACAGATGCATCCGAGTTCGCCGCAGCGCAGCCCTTCACACAGCTGCCGTGTGGCCCGCAGGCCATACCCCCAGTCCTCCTCTTCCCCGCTGCGACTAGTGAACTAGCAGACTTAACGGGGTACTTAAGTCCGTTCTGCGACGACTTCTGCTCAAGGTCCGCCGACGGCGCCCCATCTCGAGCTCATGCCGGTGTATATAGTGAGTCGGTCGAAAGGGTTAACTACGACAACACCGAAGAAGGGTTTCGGTTGTTGCTTCCATACAACCTAAAAGGCGGCGTCGGGGACGATAGTATCGGCGCGAGGAAAAGTGATGGGTCGTTTATTACGCCCGGAACGGCGACTGAGCTGTTTCAGCATGGATACAAACCCTTTGGCGGCGATTACTACCGTCCACAGCGGCTAGAACGTCTGTTCGACTATTGGCGTAAGATGGTCGAGGACGGCGTTTGGTCCGTTGGGCTAGAGGGGGTAAAAGGCTCCATTGATACCTTCAAGCAAGCTGATTCGGCGGCTCACTGGAGAGACTACATTATTGCGCCGACTTGGTAGAAGAGGACAATGTTCATTCCCAGATACCTCGCGCTCCAGCCACTATCCCTAACACTTATGGCCTCATCAGACCGGTACACTCTAATACGACTCTCAGCATAGAATACCCAGAGCATGACATCCTGCTTCTTAAGTACTTTTATGATAGATAAACATAAGGTTAAGTAATCCTCTCAACTATAGCGACTTTATTTTCCAAATAGTTAACACCGCAAATTCGGTTCGCGCTTTACCTTCCCATTGCTAAGCTATCTTACATCTGTAACTTCTCAAATCGTGAGTCTGTCATTTCTTTACGCAGACCGCAATTTTCAATTCATTACCTATACGGTATTATTAAAACCTTTCATGCTATCAACATATAGGTAAGTAGTTGTTGGTATCTAACACCAATATTTTTTATTGATGTTATTTTACATGTACTCATAGGTGATATACTATCTCTTACTCGAATCTCGTATTCTTGATTTCTTACAATTCTATATAAAATTTCTTCCCATTTCCGGCTCCATCACAACTCACAAAATTAACCTAACTGTGGAGCTTAGCCCCTATCCAACATCCACATCCCGCACCCACCACGCCCACAACCCCATCGTACCAAACCCGTCGCCAAAAAGGTACTTCCCACGCACCGACAAAGGCCACGAGATAGCAAAAAGAGCAAAAGAGAAGGGCTTGGCCGGGGATTGAACCCGGGACCTCGCGCAAGCTGTGCTGTAGGTTTTCCCTAAGCGCGAATCATACCACTAGACCACCAAGCCCTAGCTATTGCATCGCATCCCATCCACAGGAATGCTGCTGTTGATGGGTGATTGTTGAGAAGATGGCTTATTGAGATCTATGTGGTCGGGTTTGTATCCACACTGTCCACTTTGTGGAAGATCCAATAGATTTCCAAGGTTATTTGTCTGTTGAACAGAGTGGACAATCAATTTCTGAGTGAGTTATGCAATCTGAGTGAAATGCCTGAAGTTGGAAAAAGCTGGCAAGCACTACGCTGATTCTGCTAGGCGGTGATCTATCGACGACGATACATGTATGATAACTGCTGTTTATTTAGAGGCTAGAGGAGTATAACATAATATGTATAATTACAAACAAACAATCGTAGGAGTATAAGTTTCATGCATAGAGATGAAAATATAATAGGTTTGGTTACCTCATAAAACACGCCTGTATTTCCTCGCGTGGAAGTGTCATGAAGCATTTTCAAGTTTGACAAACATTCGTAAAGGTTGAAATATCATAATCATCGTCTCTATAATACTACCTAGTACCTACCTGTGCGCCTAAATACACCGACCTCAAAGTCTACAAGGTGCCGTCCATCATATCAACCGCATTACTCTAGTACCAGTTCCAGGACGCGTCACCCGCCTCACATCAGTCACACTCACACACTAGTATATCTCACAGCAGACACATCAAGATGAAGTAACTTAAATGCATTTCTTCTCTCCTCTTACTACTCTCTCACACATCTCTCTTATTTCCTCTCCCCCTACCTCCACCGCCGTCTATACACACAAAAACATAGCCCGCCCCCTCCACACACGACCGCAACCGCAATCGTAAATCGAAAGAAGCCGACCGCCAAACCCGAACCTATGCCCCATGCCCCGGAACCCCATCTCCCAAGCACACACGCGCGCGTACAAAAACACAAAAAAGGACCAAAAAGGAAGAAGAAAGACAGACGCCGATTCGAAAATGCATCGTTTCCCGCCCAGGTATCAAAGACGCGTGATTCGACACGCGCTCCGTGACGCGCTCAAAAAAGGCGCAGCAAGAACCCAGAAAAGCTTCGCAAGATGCATGTATGTAGATATTCATAATCGTGAATGCCATGTGTGTCCCCGCAATGATATGATGATGAACAAGACAGCAAAAGAGACTTAGAAAAAGGAAACGTGTTGATGTTGAAGTTATGTAGGGTCTCTGCTCTTCTTGTTGAGCGAAGGCCGTACCCACTGACTAAATAAATGTATGGATAGGTAGTATATATGTAGATAAAAGTAGACGCCGGTTCTGGGCGTTGAAGTCGGCACAGTGGATATTCTCGTTCATCTTTTCGATGGTTAATTAGGGCCCCCCTTTACCGATACATGTCAGGAGCTATTGGAAACAGGTGATCCTATAAGCTCTCACAGCCCTTATTATTTGATCTTCCGGGCGTCGAATAGCGTCAAGCTCAAGCTCGTATCGTTCTCACCCACGTTAGGGGTAGGCTCGTTGAGGATTTCCCACCTCCTAAATATAAAGGGCGTCAATCTTTCAGGTATCATGCTCATGCCCATCGCCATCGCCCTCCTCTCTTGGATTCCGGTTGGCTGCTTGTCACGGTGAGCTAGCATGAAATCTTCGGCTGGGTTCGGAGCATAGCTAAATAAATATTTAAGTCTCGGGTCAGCGGTGGTATCTTTCACTGCCCGGACACATAGCAGACGGGCCTCTTCGGATAAGCTATCAACGAGAGCGAGAGCAATGTCGAAAGCTTGCTGTCCAAGATTCGAAGATGGATGATTGTCGAGTTCTTGAACAAGACCAGCAAGAACTATCAAAGCACGACCGCGGATTTCGCCTCCAGCCAAAGGTAATTTCGATGCGTCTATGGCGCTAGCGGAAGGTGAGGTGTATAAAGTCAGATAAGAGAAGAGCAGAGGAAGCCAGTGTGAGAGCACAGCACTTCTCAGTGAGGTGAATTCGTTGGCCCGTGAAGCTAGGATATCCCAAAGATCGGCGAGCTTGTCCACTAAAGCGCTCGAGAGTGGTGACACCTTTGACCCCGATCCTCCCCGGAAAATCGAGTCGATCACCGTTAGTAAATTCTCCGCCATATGAATATCCTTGTGGCGTAGAGTCTCGTCTGGAGGATTCTTAAGAGACGGAATTATATCGAGAAAACGCGATTCGGCTCGGTTTCTCATATGTTGCGTAATGTCGGGAGTCAGAGAAGGTAGCATGCCCGTCCACATGATGTTATTAGCGTCGATTGCGTTATCGAGAGCCTTCGATAGCAGCTCAAACTGCGAGTGAACCCTCTCGGACGCCTCCGGACCGCTGGACTCGTCGAGTGCGAGGTTTAATGAAAGCTTGACTTGGCAGAAGGGCAAGGTGAACTCATTTGCCAACTCCAACACCTGTTCAAATGATTTCTGTCCACCCCCGCCGTGAGGAACTAGTAATTTTGTAGTCCACCTCTCAATAAGCGCAGCTAATTTCGGTTCGGGACTTTTTAGCGAAACCACTCGACTGGCAGCACTCGGATCGACAAGGACTAGATCTCGGAAGAGCTCGAGGAGGCGATCCTTAGTCTGTTCATCCTCGAGTGGTTGCTCGACCATTGCCTGCTGGTTGCGAGATTCCGAATACTCTGCCAATGCATCGCGGATTAGGGGCATCAACTCCTTCGCATGTTCGCGCCTGGCGTGATCTTGAATAATTCGGAAGCGATAGCAATCCTCCGAGGTCATAATTGGGCTCGGGCTAAATGGTGTCATCAACATCTGCAAAATTTCTTGCATGTAAATGGAAGCGCATCCTGCTGCCCTCTGAACTTGAGTGGCTTGACCACGTGATCTTGTGGCGGTCGAAAATAGGATCGGAAGAGATAGACAGCCTGAGCTAAAAAGAGGCGGGAAAAGCTCTGAAACGGGTCTGCGATTCGGTAACCTGCGAATATGTTGCATCCAATCCCTCATAAGTTCCCCGAAATGATGAATATCGAATACTCGTAATCTCATAAGAAGGATGCAACAGAGTCGTTGACGTTCGTCCTTTTTACCCCAGTAAGCTTGCAATCTCTTGGCAATTGCATAAAATAGGTGTTCCATCGTCCGCTTGTCGGCGCTCGAGTAAGTGGCGAGTTTCTCTATCTGTTCGCTTAACTCTGTCTCGATATCTTGGAGCTGTGTAGCCATGTTATCAGAAAGCGGGGATGAGGCGTCAGCGGCACTACTACGGTCTAACCGAACCAGGTCATTCTGTAATTGCACCGATACGTCCTCCAAACCCAACCCAGTCAAATGTGATGCCAGGTTAGCGAGAGAGGCAAGTAGCGGCCGGGCACCTACGCCCTGTTGCTCTAGGGTAGCCTTAAGTCGATCGTAAAGAAGCTGGAAGAGGGGCTTAGCAGCTCCGGTCGCCGTGAAGACTGGCAAATGGAGGTTAATGGTGTCAGTACAGCATGCGAGAAGCTCGGTATTAGAGCATGGCGCAGCCAGCTTCAAGACGTTCTCCAGCATAGTATAATCCTCGGCGGATTCGAGCAGCGTCCGAACTGTCTCGAACATTGTTTTAGGTAGCTCCATGCCTCCTTTTCCTGACTGCAAGTTTTGAGCAAATCCGCCGACAAAGTCGTTGCTAAGCCACGAAGAAATAGTCGTCTTGAAAGAACGGCTACTTAACTCGATTAGTCTCGATAACTTCTTAAGGCTCATGGGCTTTCTTTGCACTGGGATGTCATCTAGCCCTAGAGGAATATTCAGTGCGCCCTTAACACAGCTTATTGCCATTGCGATATCCTTGGCTTCATCTTCCACCGAAAAGCGTGCTCTTCGCAGCAGAGTCGCCCTCAAATTTCTCATGGACTCGTCCAGGGAGTGGATAGGAATTTCGACGAGAAGCCTAGTAATGCATGGCCCGTCTGGAGCTGTTTGACTGGCATTCAAGAGACCACCACGAGCTATAAGCCACTGTATATATTGTGGAACCAAGAAGTGACCGGACCGAGCAAGCTCTGACACAACGTGGTAGACGAGATGTTTTCGTGCAGTTTCTTGTAGTGGATCCGTGTCTAAAAACTCTAGGACGGTCGTCGTGATATCGATATCGAATTCTGTTGACGAACGAAGAAGCGTCGCAGCAATGTAAATCTTAGCAACCCCAGGCCGGTACAGCGAAGTACACCATTCTAAGATAGTTCTCACTATCGACGATTTGTTCTCGCTCGTTTTCCACAATTGCCTAGTGATCGCGTCGTCGTAGGGTGTTCGGTGGATGCTGTCGAGTAGCTGTACTACTATGCTTCGGAGAGCTGGTTGCGACTTGGCATTAGAGCTCGTTAAATAGTCATTACGCAGGTCGATTGCTTTAAGCGCTCTCGATCTAGATTCGTTATTATTCGCACCGGGGGCCTCGGCCAAGCAGTCTCGATATTTCAACCAGATTGCGGGGCATATGAAGTTTTCGGGGCTAGTCATTAGTAGAGATTCTACTAAAGCTTGTAAGCGAGTAGCAAGAGGGAGTAATATGTCACGGTCAGGGTGATTATATATCTGTTCATACGGTTAGCTAGAAAACTGTAGCTTGTCATTAAGGGGACGTACAGAGGAGTGATGAAAGAGAATAGCGTTAACTAATCGTCTTCCGTGTCTCCTTAGTTTCAGTATGTCTTTCCAGTATATCTGAATAATTAAGAGCCATAACGGTAATTTAGCTTGGTTGCTATTTTCTAAGCCGGAGACTAGCCAGTCCATATAATGGTCGCGGTCTAGAAGGTGTTCGGCGTAAAGGTGCGTAGCGAGGCGGATGCTAGAGATAGTTAGTGGGAGAACAGTTGAATCATCGTTGTCTCGTGGGACGGCACGGGGTAGCATCATTACTTACGCATATGTAACCTTCGTCTTCCAATCGCTATCATTAAACGCATTGGTGACGGATTCGACGAATTGCTCGACAAAAACGGTCCAATCCCTAATCCACTTGGCTTCTCCGCCCATAACGAAGGTACCATTTACCCCTTTCCTCTTAAAGGCGCGAA